TAGTTAGTTTATTATATATATATATATATATATATATATATATATTCCAATTAGACAATTAGTTCCAAAACACAGTCCGAGATTTCATTCCTTGAAGTTTTGTTATCCAGTTGTTCAGTTTTACGAAATCGATTATGCCTTTTCATAAGTAATGGATTCAAAATGTCAAGGTTCATTTTACTTTTAATTAAGCTTCAACATACTTATGTAGCGCAAAGAAATTGTTTTGAATTTCGTGCTGAGTGAAGGAGCGACCACGAAAAGAAAAGAATAAAACTCATACTAAAACTCATAAGAAAAGAATAAAACTCAGAATAAAACTCATATAAAACTCATACTAGTAAAATCAACGGTCTTACGACCTGATTTGTCACAACTTCCTTGTGTTATGAAGATGTCGAAAAAGAAGCAAAAGAAGCTTTGGTGAAGTCGAGGGGGATTAAAAAGTTTGGATTTCCTATTACTGAGATTATCTCATATCTTTTAGTTGTCAGATCAACAACTGGTCTTCGTGTGGCTGCGACAGGAAAGCCGCTGGCAGGGAAGGTAATCGCAATTCGAAGTACTGCGGCTAGTGGACCGCAGGTAATGAAAGTGGTCAGAAGTGCACCTCGCGGTGCAGCAGCCATTATGGCTCACGGTCCTCGCGGACATTTTCTCCGCGTTTTACCTGCACCAAGATTCACCACTTCAAATCAGGTGAATTTGCTATTTGTTTCCAAACTTTCTGTTCATTATTCATTTTTTCGAAAAAAGTTACAATTTGATTGCCTTTCATTTCTGCATCCGCATGCATATGATTTTATTGTATTCACTTCTGCGAAAAAAAGAAGAAAAAATGTTTTTTTCTAAACCGTTTAAAAAAGTGGAAAGTTTTTAGTTGCATCGTTTAACTAAAATTTTTTATTGTTTTTCAAGGTTGATAAGTCTTTCATTTCTGCTTTTTGGATATTCTGCAACTGATGCACGACATCCACGGATTTTCCAACCTTTTTTCTTCTTTATTGGTATAAACCTTTCAGTTTCCTGTTTTCAAGGCTTTTCACTTTCAGTGCTCAATTTTTTCACGTTTCATTTCAGAATAATTTATTTGATTTATAATCATCTCTCACCTTAATACATTACTTTATCTGTGTCATCCTTTGTCTGTGAAACGTGCTGCTTGCTTAGTTTGCTCTATTAATACTGTTTGGTTGCTGTAATTTGAGTACTTAGCCTTATTTCACGTTTCATTAAGCTGCGTTATTCGTTCCAGGGCATCGGAAATTTCGTTTCCTTGTTTGGTACTTCAGCAAGAGAATAAGTGAGCTGTCACACATACGAATAAGTTAGAAATTAGGTCAGTCATCGGACACAATTTTTGGCATATGCTGAGTCGATTTCCGGAATTTTGATATCCATTTTTCATAACAGCTTAGTCTATACTTCCATTACCCTTGCTAATGATTTCGATCTGTCTTTCCGTAACATTGCACTAGTAAGTTTCGGGTTTTTTGCCGTACTGTACACTGCATATATTCCGACGAACTATTTTCCAGTTACCACTAACTAGGTGTCGCATATTGAGAAGCACATGATGTGCAAGTCGAAGTCGATTTATGCGTTTTCGAGATCAGTTTGAGTTTGTGCTAAGTGGCTGCTTTAGTAAGTGATGTCCCCATTGTGATGGCAAACACGACAACGTCGGCTTTGCGAAATGAAATCACTCACTGTTAGTAGTACTAGCGGCTTGTCCCGATCATGTTACGTGACACCACCTTTTTGAGCATGTTGCATGAGGCAGTTGCCGATCTGCAGCACAGTGTCGCCATCTTTTCTGCATTTTAAGAAGTATGTACCATAATTTTAGGCGGCTATTGTCAAACATCCAGCTGCAAAAGCGATCCTAGTGACTAAGGCACCTGGAGCTGGCTATACTGCACCACATAAATTATTATTCCTGCAGCAGACGAATTGTCCTACTGTATCTGCCTCAAATGTTAGTACTGGAGACAGTCCGCAGCTGGCCGTTGTTGAATCTGTATCACCGCACGTTGTTCAGCCTGGAAACAGCAGCGCAGAACCGGCGGCAATAACTACGGAACATGCACCATCGATTTCCACGCAAGGAACAACATATACCACTCCAGTGATGCCAAATGTTGATGTTCGTAACAAGTTTATCACTCCATTATGAAGGTTGTAACGAAAGTGACTTTCCATCCACTTCAGGTCTTGCTCTCTGTAATATATTGAGAGTCTTTCTTATCATGACAAAAATGACGCATGATTCTTATCTTATTGTTTCCTATTTATGATTATTTCAGATCGGCTTACCACAAAATCTTCTGGATGAAATAGCTCCAGATGGTGAAACCGGCATTATTCAAAATGCTGATACAACTGACCAACATGTGAAGCAACCTTCTGATACTGCTGTCAGTGTTTGTCGTTCATCTGCATCTGTTACACAAGATACTAAGAAAGCAAAGGTGTCCCCAGTGGGTGCAACTCACGTGCAGACAGCTACCAAGGTATTTAAACTGACATTCATTAAGTGATCTACCTCATATCATAGTACTTGATAAAAGGCTCATTATGTCGAAGTAAATTCATTCTTATCAGTTGTTCGACGTCTGTTATAAAGTATTAAAGAGTAGATCTAGAATACGTTCCCAGGAATAATTTTCTAAGGAAATAACTTCAAGTTTTTAAAATGAGGTGCGGTTTTAATTTGTGGATGAAGTAGTTAGATTTCAGAACTAATTTGTCTCCTTATTTTCGTATATATTTAGGTTCAATGTGCACCATCCGGAGAAGCAGTGGCTTCATCCAAAACAATACGACCAAAAACAAATGTAACAGCAGTAGCTATTTTACCTCCTACAAATGTTCAAGTTGAAATATCCTCATCCAATGTTACACAAGGAAAATCTCCCATGGAAAAGGACGTCAAAAATGAAAATGAAGCTAATCCGACAAGCAATGCTGACAGTAATAAACTTGGTAATCACTGACTTCATAAGCATTATTTCCTCTTTTCCCCTGAAAGCGTACTTTGTGCTGCGCTGCTTTACCTTTGCATTCTATGCAATATTTCAACATTTCTTCACTCCATAGTTGTAAAAGAAAAAGCAACTGTTCCGTTTTGTAGTTTGAACTATCTTGTTTTGTTGTAAAAATTGTTTATAAAGTAGTTTCAGACAAAACTGAGATTGCGGCAGTGACTGAATGTAAAAAAGAAGAAACTGATAGAAAGAGTGAAGACAATGCCGAAAAGGACGTTAAAGAGGACGCTATGTCTGTTACTAAACAAGTGAAAGTTGAAGATACTGACGGAGATAAGAAAACTGACGACGATGTCCCTCTCGATAAGAGAGGACAAAGTGACGACTTAGATTCATCACATGATAGCGGAAGGCTGCAAATAGTTACATCCAGCAGCGAAGAAAACACAACAGATATTAAAAAATTGGAGTCCGTGAACTCGATATCAACAGAAACTGCGAAATCAGTGGATTCACCAAGTGCGAGCCAATCTGTAACAGCAACGTCTGGTACAGATACAGAGATATCTGCTCCTGTAGCAGAAACTGTTAACGCTGGCAGCGTAGTAGTTGAGGAAATTCCAAATGAGGTTGACACAAAAAAATGTGCTCCATCTGTTACAGTTCTGAAAGTTGAATCCGGTACAGCACAGTTCAGTCGATCTCATCGCTCTACCTCTCCAGAGGCAACTTTCAGCTTCTAAATTTTCAGTTTTAAGATAATTTTTTCCCACTGAAAACCAGACGTGATGATAGTTTTCCAATCATTTTGTTGATGAGTTTTTAATATTAATCTTTCCATAGTGATAACTTCTTTTTTTTAATTTTTAGGTAAAAGCAGAATCAGAGTGGTACAACGTTGGAATTATAAAAGGGACAAGTCATCTTGTAACACACTATTTTTTACCATGTTCTACTGGCATGGAAGATGCATTCGGGGTATTTTTCTTTTTTTTTTTTATTACTGATGTATTTTTACTTGTATAAGTTATGACTGATGAAGAATATCGTTTAGTGATATATATGTATATATTTAAAGTAATTGATTAGTTGATTTATTTTCTTTTCGAGGTCCTAAACTTTAGTTTACATTTCATTGCTTTCTGGTATACGTTTTGAAGCATCAATTTTTCTGCATCCATTACATGGATAATATTAACAATCGTTAAAGATTTCATTCTCTATTAGGTCTTTCATAATTCTTGAAATTACCTTGAAATGAATGTGAACTTGGAGTTCAGGCAAGTTATTTGAGAAAAGCTGAACTTGAAGCTGGAACTGCGTATCATTTTCGTGTTGCTGGCATAAATGCTTGCGGCCGAGGCAATTGGTCGGAGGTAAACTGTTATGTAAGATTTGCTGTTCTCTCCGTTTTTGGTTAATTGTCTTCTTTCAATGATTATTCAGTTTAGTACCGTTTTTTAAGTGTTTTATAGGGATTATAATAGTCCGGACTTTCTGATAATTGAAAAACCAATTTTCTAGTTTAGTATGACGCTTTTCAGGTAACTGCTTTCAAAACTTGTCTTCCTGGCTATCCCGGTGCTCCTTCCAATATCAAGGTGACGAAGAGCCCAGAAGGTGCACATCTAACTTGGGATCCACCACAGAGTGCTGTTGGTAAATTTTCATTTTTGTTCAATTTTATTCAAGTTACTAAGAGTATCATTGCAAAGACTTCAGCCATATTACGACATCTGGTACACTTATTTTAAACTTTATCTTTTCTGAATTTATTCCATTTCTCTTAGTCATTATTTTAAATTTAACACTGTGATCTGACTGTGCTTGACCGATAATGTGTAAGCAGTTGTTTTTCAGGCAAGGTGACAGAATACAGTGTTTATCTGGCTGTTCGCAATACTCATGGTCGTGAAATTCAGCTTTCATTCGTTCGTGTTTACGTTGGTTCCGATCCATTTTGTATTGTTTCGTTAGCCAATTTACACGCAGCGCATATCGATAAATCTTCCAAACCGGCAATCATATTTCGAATTGCAGCACGTAACGAGAAGGTGGTTAAATTTTTTTTGTAATATTGTATTCCAATTGTTGTTTTATACTCAGTTTTATTTCCTTAATTTATATATATATATATATATATAAT